TAACGTTCCTGATTTTACACAAGTTTTCCTGTTCCATCATGCACTAGTGCAAAGGGGGGGACATATTTGGAGTAAAAAGTTGGGTTTCATAATTGTTGAACTTACTTCCATTTCGAGTGGAAGTGTTGGGTGAAGAGATTCAAAGGTCGGTTCCACCAGAAGACGACGGCCGATTCCTCTTGACCAGCTGTCGATTGGCTTTACTGGAAAATTGATGCTGAAGTAGTTTACGCGGCAATCTCCTTCGATTCCGGTGAAAAGGTGCTAAGCTTTCGTCCGTCATATGAGGGACATCAACAGAGCGAGATAACATCGTCACAACCAAATTCAAGCTAGCGAGTCAAGAAAATTCACCGGCAAATCCCAAAAAAGTGGTATATATGCATTCTACATCTGGCCTCTTTGATCAAGTATAAAGTGATTTGGTTAGTTAAGGTCATATGTCAACTTCGATGCATGTTAGTGTGTCTGTCTCTATATTTGTGTGTGTGCCTGTTTGCGTTCGCTTATGCACGAAACCCGAAATGATGGCTCAAAGTAATTAGAACAGCAAAAAGAAACGTCTGTTTATGGCAATCAAGGTTTGATGAACCCTATCTACCTCTTTATATGCACATGCCATAACCATCACTTCGATTGCGCAGGGTCGGACACGTCTGGTTTTGTTGATGAGTCAATTTTTTGTTTTTGGTCTCAATGCGAGAGAGAAAGTGAGCTAAAAGTACAGAGAAATGACTATCACTAAAACCAAAATAAGAAAAGACTAGTTGCGTCGCCTCGTTTCTGCAGTCTATCAATTAAGCACAAATAGTTTTTACTTATCTTCTTGCCGGAATTCCTTAAATTCGAGGTATTTCCTATTCGGTTTGTTTCTATGGCTTCTCCAATTTTACGTTTAGCCGCAAACATACCATAATCAGCAAAACGGCAAGTTTAAGACCATTCAATCTCGTGTCCAGTTTCTGTCCTGTGCTGATCAAGTTCCGATTTTTAAACCCAACAGTCTTTGCAGGCGCTTTTGTGCTCAGCCACCCTTTGCTATCCTAATTACTTTGAGCCCTCACTTCGGGTTTCGTGCATGAGCGAACACAAACAGGCACATACACATACAGAAACAGACAAACTCATAGACATCGAAGTTGACATATATGACCGTATTAACCAAATCACTTTATACTTGATCAAAGAGGCCAGATGTAGAGTGTATATACCACTTTTTAGGGACTTCCTGGCGAGTTTTCTTGACTCGTTAGCTTTAATTTGGTTGTGACGATGGTACCTCGCTCTGATGATGTCCGTCATATGACGGACGAAAGCTCAGCACCTTTACACTGGAATCGAAAAAGATTGCCTCGGAAACAGCGCCAGCATGAATCTTCCAGTAAAGCAAATCGACAGCTGGTCAAGATGAATTGGCCGTCGTCTTCTGGTGGAACCGACCTTCGAATCTCTTCACCCAACGCTTTCACTTGAAATGGAAGTAAGCTCAACAAGTAAAAAATATAGACCACTAAACTACTATTACAATCCACATTTTCGTGCACAAGTACGTTGCGCGATTATCAGTACATCATATGTATAAGATGCTCACCTTGGAGGATAATAACTTTTGGAAAGCAAGGAATGTGAAATTCTATAGAAATGTTATACCTACTCATATTATAGTGAGAAAATAGAACTACTAATCCTTTATCACCTTAAACGGATATGGATGCATACATCTCGCCCAGAGCTCACTACTATCCCCAGCTGAAATCGAACCCACCTAATATGCATATAGTCTAGATTTGTCATTATTGCACCACACTACCGTAATTGCCCATAGTTTATGGGGCAGACGTCAATTGCAAGTGGGGGAAACCCCCCCTCATTTCCCATTTAAGGGACGGTTCTCAATCAAGCAAATATTTATTTCGAGATATACTTACCCTACTCCGTTTGAGGTTATAAATGACCGGTTTTTGATATGCTCCAGGCTGGATTGGACTACACTGCTGACCTCGCCCAGGTATCATCAGTGCCCCTAGCGGGACTCGAACTCGGGCAGTGCCGCATATAGTCTCAAGACGTCAATTAATACACCACACCGCCATGGTTGCTTTTGAGTTACGAGGCAGAAGTAAGTAAGTAAGCCTAGGCCATTTGTATATCCCATTTCCGTTGTCAAATTGTTGATGAAGCAAAGTTGCATTAACTATTGCTTGTTTTTCGCCTTTAACTAGGCTTCGAGATTACCAGTAGATCAAAAGCAAGCATGACAGCAAAGCTAAGTGGTTAATGTTAACGTCGAGGCTCCGCAGTGGGAAGTCAAAGATGAGGACGGAGTATAGTGACTTAATCGACAATTCCACTACAAAAATGTGATATGGAAAGGCCTAGGCTTCCTTGAAAATCACTTCTTCCCTGTGACCCAAGGGCAGTCGTATATGAGAGTTTCTTGTAGGAAATGAGTGTTGGTGAAATTCAATGAAAACGTAAGGAAGCATTCAACTATCAATCCTTTATCACTTTATGCGGCCTAGGCTGAATGGAGCTAATAGTTAGAATCTGCTGAAAGTTTTAAACATACTTTTTATGAATGCGAATTGTGAGTGAACACCTAAGACTGTATTAATAAAGGAAACATTATTTCAATAATGACATTTTCTTTGACATCAAAGTATTAATCATTTCTGTATCAATTGGTCCACCATTAAATAAAGAAGAAAAAGATGAACTTATATGTAGCAATAAAGAAAATTTGTCAAAGCGTACTGTTTGATGGGAAGCTAACCTCTGTGATTCATTAGTTATATCATAAATGTATGTGAAATTCCTCTTGCACCTCACAAGCTTTTAACTGAGTAATGGTCTAATTTAGTTTCTCGTCAAGGCGGTATATTAGGATTTCGGAAAATGGTATCCTAGTCCATGTCTTTAACTAGACATGGAAGTAAAAATGGTAAGGATACCCTTCTAAACCACTCCATTCACTTCAAATTGAGACTAAATGCGCTTATAAAGAAACATGAACGGATAGCAAATTTAGATGATGAACACATACCAAGGCTTACAATGGGTAAAATATAAAATATTCACAAAATATTTTTTTAATTTAATACCAATCGCAATTAAATGAGTGGCATTCTAAAGAAAAGTATGAAGCTAAGAAATGTCACCAATAAACTCACAGAAATCAGCTCCAAACTTGGTTATGCATATGCGAGTTACGCAAGCAGGAAAGCAGATGAGGGCTGAGAGGTTAATGACGTGAGATGGAGCGAGGGTAGCCTTCAATGCTTTGTAAAGAGACAAAAACGAGAATATGAATAAAAACAGGGTTTCGAAGAATTCCTTAATGAAATATTGTGACATGCCTATCAATTTCAAAGGGGAAGTTAGTTGGAAGGAATTCACGATGTGGTCTCACCATAAACCGCAGAATTGTTGCGTAATCAAAACCGTTCTTCGCACAATTCAAAAGTCCACTTTACAGGACAAATCTTCGTCGGTTTCCGGTAAGACCCCATCACGAATTCCTTCCAATTAACTTTCCCTTCGAAATGGAGAGTCATTGCTCAAAAGCGAGGCTTATAAATAACGAATCTTTATGCCAAAGATTTTAGTGAAAATTGATGCCAAAAAGTGGATTAAATACAGCATACGATAAAGGAGGAGCAAGTAGGCATAATGATGAGATCCAAGCAGTTGGAATCAGGAGATATCATTTTTGTTTCCAAGGTAATAGTATTTATATTTGTATGAGAGTAGAGTATTTATACTCTATCATCTCATATCGGATGACAGAACAAGTAGGCAAGGGTTCATAGTCCATACGTAAAGGAAGAAACGCTATTTTAGAGCATCTTCATGAAGCCCCCGAGTAGATATGCCTTAAATAAAATGATACTAAATCTGTGTCGAGGCGCATTTATGTCGAATTAATATAAGCTTGCAATTGAACCTGAAAATGAGAGTCAAACCTGCAAAAAATAAAGTTACAAGTATGCTTTTAACAGTGCTTTCCCTATATTTAGTGACTGGACCTCGTAGTGAGCATCACCTAAAATTACCAAACCCTGCGACAAAATATGGACAACTCTGATTAAGAACTCACTTTTTTCAGCAATTCCTGTAAATACATTTTTATAAATCATCTGTTGGTCAAGAATACGTTAATAGCAAAAAGTATGTTCAAATTTAGACACTTAAACTAGATGAAATTTATGCAACATTTTTCATGTATATAATCTACATGA